CTTTATTAGGTTTGGTCCCTTCAATGATTCCATAGACTTATATACTAATTGATAGTAAAATAAGTTGGGTATGATTAAGGAAGAGAGGGCATAGCATCAGATCCTGGATTGTGATTCTGCCTCACATTGTCTCTTTTCCTTATTGATTGCTTCATGTCATTTCTACAAAATTGTACTATTGCATCCATGTTCATGATCACTGGTCCATATTTAGACTTATATCTTCAAGTTGGTGTGAACAGTTTTAGCAGCTGCAATATACTTTTTATGAGAATTTCATATGTAAAAGCTACAAGCAACTCAACTTTTAAAAGACCAAATCTACTAAAAATGGAAAAGCTAACAACATTACATTTTGAAGTAAGTTTTTTTCTAATCAAGCAAGATCGATTCTTTTTCACCAACCTTGAGTGTGTTCGTACGGATGTACATAGTGAACTCAAATCTTTACATGAATCATAAAAAAGAAGCTACAAAGGGGTTAAACAAGCCGTGACCTGAATCTCACAGTGACGCCGGATTGTATGTATCGATGTTAAACCGATGAAAACCGATGCCAAGAACGACACAGCAGACTTGTATCAATGTTCTTCGAGAGTCCTGCATAGGCATTTTGTAACATACAAATGAATCAAATTACTAACATCTATTAACCTGAAACAACTTCAAATTCGATCTGATCAAAAGCTAGTACTGGTCTACATTGCAAGCTACAGACAAATAGGATCAAAAATCAGAATCTTGATTTGAAGTGTTTAAAGCAAAAAGCTTTATTACCGGAAGAGATTCGATTCAATCGTCTCGAGTAGGGAATAAAGTCAAGACTGTTCTTCCTCCTCCTCCATTAGCGTTTGCAGATTCCAAATCCTCAACGTAATTACCAACTGGACTATGCAACGACGGTGTAGACATTCTGTGTAGCGTTTGCTGCTGCTGCTGCGTTTGCCTCGCCAAGAACGCCGGATCGAATTTCCCATTCGTTGCCGGTGACCCAAATTGCCCATTCGCCGTCGGAGATCCGAATTGCCCATTCGCCGTCGGCGA